AGAGACGAAGAGAGAGAGGGAGACGGAGATAGAGAGAGGAAGAGATAGAGAGAGGGAGAGAGGGAGAGAGAGAGACGAAGAGAGAGAGGGAGAAAAAGAGTAAGCTATCATCATCATCATTATCATCATCGTCGTCATCAACATCATCATCATCGTCATCATCTTCATCTTCTTCTCTCTATACATAGCGCCTCTTCGAGCAGACGATCTTTCGGATCCAGCAGCGTCAACGTCCACGTCTGGTTCGCTCTCACTGCTAGCCTCACGAAATGCATCTGGTCCATGGCTATCAGTCAACACCAGTTCTACCTGGACCGCAGACACACGAAGGTAAGACAAGTGTATCATCACCACTGCCGCACGAGGTGAGGGTGACAAGAGTGAAGGTGAGGGTAAGAGTGAGGGTAAGAGTAAGAATGAGGGTGAGGGTGAGGATAAATATAAAGGCAGGAGTACGAGTGAGTGTAAGGATGAGCGTGAGGGAAAGGGTGCGATAGTGTGGTATTTACAATGAAATATTCTGTAAAGTGCGTCGCAACAATTTTAGGCACTACTTCAATTAGCGAACACCTTTCAACGAAATATTTTCCAACCGGGCGATATAAAGATACATAAAAATAATTATTGACACGCTAAAAAAGTCTTATTCGAAAACAACATATTTGCCAAGCTTTCTTTGCTCCATTGAAGATAATTACTGACGTATAGGTGGCGCTGTTTTGCAGCAGACGATGCGGTCGATGGACGACATTGCTGCCTCCTTGTGTCAGCAGCCCGTCAGCGCGCCTACACCGGAACCGGATGTCAAGAGCCCGCCGGGGGTCACTCCCAGCAGCAGCACCAGCACCCTGACATCCATGCCGTCGTCCACCCAGGGTATATATATATATATACCCTGGCTGAAAAAATATATATAGCGGTTTGACTAACATAAAACACGAATCACGAGACTGACTTAAAAACCGACTGTTAAATCCCGAGGTAACCCCCTAACTACTACATCGTGCACTAGCCGTTCATCATCTGTCAATTTCGTTATAATTATCGTGTGCATATTATCAAGAGCTAATAATACTATCAAGAGGTATTATTAGCTCTTGATATTATGTATATATCGTCTGCTCGTTCACAATTCCTGTGACGCGTGGCGCCATCGCGCGGCAGTAATCGTAGTTCTTTCCGTCGTCACTAGTTTGCGACACGGAGGAGACACTGGCGGCGCTGCAGGAGCAGCTGAAGGCCCTGAAGACGCTGAAGGAGAAGAAGGAGAACATGCAGAGCAAGCTGACGAAGAAGACGGACGAACTGATGAAGCTCTGTCTGCAGGAAGCTGTGAGTACTCGCGCACACCGCATCCTCCCCTTCAGACGACGTCGCCGCTTTATCGCCGCGTTTTATCGTCTCGCAAATATGTACGAATTAAGTGCCGCCGGTACTTACATCCCCCCACCACCCCTCGTTCTGGTACTCACCCCCTCACACACACACACGCGCGCACGCACACGCACACACACACACGCGCGCACGCACGCACACACACACACACGCGCGCGCGCACACACACACAACAGTTTCATAACTCTGGTACTCATTCAATCCGCTCACCTCTCCCCCCCGGTTCTCATAACCCGGTTCTCCTCCCCCTGGTACAACTGTGTTTCGCCGAGAGACTCAGCTAGAGATGAGCTGCTATAAGCTTGCACAATAGGAGAAGACCTCAGCACACGAATGCTACCCATGGGGGGAGGATGGGGAGGAGGAGGGGGAGGAGAGGAAGAGGAAGGGGGAGGTCCGTGATGTCGAGATAGCGTGTCGTTGATGAAGCAGTCTAACCGACTGACCCAATATCGTCTGCATGACGACGACAGACGCGCACGCGCGCGTGAAACGATGCTCTCTTGTCAGGTTTAGCGCGCTTTCGCGAAAGTTCTACGGTAAATAATAAAATTTGTGTACACTGGCAAGGTTTTGTATCGCAAGACTCGTCTAAAAGTTAAGTTTGCCCCAACCATAGAATATTTGCTTTCTCCAACCATAAAATGGTGGTTCCCCTTAACTAGAGAATGGCAGCATGTCCTGACTATAGAATGGTAGCCTTCTATAATTATAGAGTGGTATCTTGTCCTAAATAGAGATTTGTAGCTTTCCCTAACTACAGAATGGTACCTTGCCATAACTATAGTAGTGTAGCATGTTATTATTTCGCGTTCTACGATATGTCTATTTAGTTATCTGCATGTGAGATAGAGCGGATTAACGGTGCAGCTGCATGCCTGCAAAGCCTCGGCCCAAATTCAGAAAGAAAATTAGTCTTAACATTATTTTTATTTTACGATGTTTTTGACAACGAACCTTTCGTCTGTAGCAACCCTGACTACAATGACTATTTTTCGCTTCAGATTCTACGTCGACAGCATATCGAGACTGCGGGACAGTCAAACTATCGAACTATACTACCTCCAAGCAAAGGCGCTCGTCTGTAAGGTAGGCAGGTTCCACACGTGTCTTCATAAAGAACTGCTTCTGACATTCCGCTTACTCAACATGTTCTGTTTGCATCTACGACAAATACGACATACGCATATACGCTCTCCTATGACACTATTTGTCATAGGACGAGAATTACAGCTGAAATTCACTGCTTGCGTTCATAATAGCGCTCCTAAACTCCT